GTAACAATTTGATCTGGAATTTCAACTGCGGTCATGCTTTTCCACTTTTTTCTTTTTCTTTCCTCCATAGCTGTTAAATGTCATTGGCTAAATCCTGTTGCTGAGTGTAGTAAATCACAACTAAAGTTTGTCCAGTGATTCACCAAATTCTCGCTGGTTCAGTGGGCCTACTCTAGTTGTGATTTATGACACTCAGTGACAGGATTTCAGACACTATACAAAAGCTTCCCTTGGTAGGTTTGGAGAATCTACCTAACCATTTTTTCTCTTTTCCTTTCAGAGTGTTGAGAACCTAAGAGACAGGTAAGTTTCAGAACAGGTTTTGTTCCTCTGAACTTCATGTTTTGCAAACAGGGCAGGGTATTCACTTTTTTGGGGGGGACAGAATTGCTTTTGGGCTACAGCTGCCATGATTTTGGTTCAAGAAGTAACTACATTTGAGCAATAGTTTAGTACAGTGGTGCCCCGCTAGACACTTGCCCCCGGTAGACGACGAAATCGCTTCACGATGAGTATTTTGCAATTGCTATTGCGATCGCAAAACGGTGTTTAGATGAGGAAAATCCACTTGACGACGATCAAAACAGCTGATTATCAGGTTTCAAAATGGCCACCTGCTGTTTCAAAATGGCTCCCCGCTGTGTTTCCTCGCTTTACAGGCACGGGAAAATGGCCAGCCTATGGAGGATCTTTGCTTTACGATGAGGTATTTTGCCCATTGGAACGCATTGAGTGGTTTTCAGTGCATTTCAATGGACTTTTTACTTTCGCTTGACGATGATTTCGTTCTACAGCGATCTTGCTGGAACGGATTATTGTCGTCAAGCGGGGCACCACTGTAAAACCAAGATTTATAGATTTTCTTATGACCTAGGACTTTTCAGCTAGTAGAAATGGTGGGATCATTCTCTCCTTTCACCCAAGTCTTCTGTGGTCCCTTTAATTTTCTGCAATCCTGACTTTGTCAGGGGATGGGGAATGGATTTCCCATTAAGCAGTATATTGTGAACGCTTCTGTTGTTTTATGCCAAATAGTTTGGGGTGGTGTAGTCATTAAGGAGATGGAAGTGGTTGTCTGAAACAGAGGGAGTGAGTCTGATGTCTCCCAGAATTTTTTTAGCCAGGGTGCTAAGCACGACCCCCAGAATATGTTCAGCGCCTTGTCTAGTTCCTCGCATTAGTTCAGGCTAATAGAACGGAGGAAAAATAGTTTGGGGTGGTGTAGTCATTAAGGTCCATTAATTTTACAAAATACCTGCTCCTAGTGGAGATGGAAGTGGTTGTCTGAAACAGCGCTTTGCTCATTACCCCCAGGATTTTCTTTTTTATCCCATTTGGGGTAATTTACCCCTGTTTCCCGACCACTGGGCTAATCCATAATAGACCTTTGTTTGCCAATTTTTCTGCCTGGAGTTTTGCCACCCTGTTGATTAAGCTTGGGTCCCATTAGATTGACATCTGAGCTGCTACAAAGAGAGAATTGAAGAATGAGGAGAAATTCCAGGGACTGAGAGTATGATGGACACATGGGAAGAGTGACTGACTAATAATAAATAGAACCTTAGAACTGCAGAGCTGGAAGGGACCCTAAGGGTCATCTAGTCCAGCCCCTGTCAAGAAGGTACAGAGGGACTTCGAACTCCCAACCTCTGGCTCTCTAGTCGGATGCCTAAACCACATGGTATGCATGCTGAAGTGGGATTGTGCCCTTCTGGCTGGTTTATGCATTATTTTATGTTCTACTATTTTACTCCAGAGGCCAGAATTCTCCACTCTGGGAGACCCATCTGCTGGACAGACATCTGCCCGACCACTGGGCTAATCCATAATAGACCTTTGTTTGCCAATTTTTCTGCCTGGAGTTTTGCCACCCTGTTGATTAAGCTTGGGTCCCATTAGATTGACATCTGAGCTGCTACAAAGAGAGAATTGAAGAATGAGGAGAAATTCCAGGGACTGAGAGTATGATGGACACATGGGAAGTGTGACTGACTAATAATAAATAGAACCTTAGAACTGCAGAGCTGGAAGGGACCCTATGGGTCATCTAGTCCAGCCCCTGTCAAGGAGGCACAGTGGGGAAATTGAACTCCCAACTCTGGCTCTCTAGTCAGATGCCTAAACCACATGGTATGCATGCTGAAGTGGGATTGTGCCCTTCTGGCTGGTTTATGCATTATTTTATACTATTTTACTCCAGAGGCCAGAATTCTCCACTCTGGGAGACCCACCTGATGGACAGACATCTGAATTGTGCTCACCTGGAGGAAAGCTGAGCTTGGAAGGCCTCTTGGCCTAGATTGGGCCAAGTTTGGGCCTAGTTTCCTGTTGGGAAAGGAAGTTGCTGTTGATGGTTGCTGGGAGCTCCCAGCAAGCTGGGGGGGGGGAGGAGGCACCATTATTTTCCTACAACTCCCAGCAAGCATTGGGAGTAGCTTTTCCAACAGGAAGCTAGGCTAAAGCTGAGCCAATCCTGGGCCATGAGGCCTTCTAGTCCATCCCCTCTCAGAATGGGGATTTCTGGGATTTGGAGTCCAAAGAGCAAAACGAAAACAAACACAGCAACCGTTTCTGCTTTTTAAATTTCAGCTCCTTGGGTTGAAGCCCTGGTTGTCCAGCCTTCCTTATAGCTTCCACCACCCCTAAGGAAGTGGGGTCTGCAGCCTCCACAATGATAAGAAAGTGGCATTCAAAATTTTAATACAGTACAGTGGTGCCTCGCATAGCGAGGTCAATCCGTTCCGGATTAACCCTTGCTATGGGAAACATCGCTCAATGGATCAAGAAAACCCATTGGAACGCATTAAACATCGTTTAATGCGTTCCAAATGGGCCGAAAACTCACTGTTATGCGATGTTTTCCTATGGCCGGCAGCCATTTTCGCGCCCTTCCCTCGCTTAGCGAGGGCACGAAAACGCTGCGCGGGGCCATTTCGGGGCTTCCGGCGGCTATTTTGGAGCTGCCAAATAGCTGATCCGTGGGTCGCAAAGCGAAGGTCGGTAAGCAAACCGCTTACCGACCATCGCAAAGCGAACTTGCTTATAGCTCCCACCACCCCTAAGGAAGTGGGGTCTGCAGCCTCCACAATGATAAGGAAGTGGCATTCAAAATTTTAATACAGTATTATATTATTGCTCAGTCAGCCCTTGATCATTGCCTCTTGCTGGATCAGGCTTACGTACACTTGAGTGGGTTATCATTGCCTCTTGCTGGATCAGGCTTACCTACACTTGAGTGGGTTTTCACGGACAGCACCCCTGATTGGAAAGCAAAAGTATTCTGTCTCCATTAGCAGATCATTGGGGTGTGAGATACCTTAATACACTTTACTGAGGCTGAATCATGTGACTGCTCCTTTTACAGCCTGGAAAGGAAACCAGAATTTTCTCCAAAGGGAAACACTAGTGCATGAAAAGGAACTTTTCCAATGGCTGTTATAGACAAATTGGGGATGGATGCTGGCAGTTCGTTAGTACTAAGTCCAGGTTCCTATTCAAAACAGTTCCCCCCCCCAAGAAGAAAGAGAGGGGGTGGGTGGGTTCTGAGTTCGAGTCGAATCCAAGTTGTTGCCAAAAAAATATCCGAGTCGAGTCCGAGTCTAATCACCAGTATCACTTAAGTCCGACAACAAGTCCCGTGACTCATGTTCCTCTCTCTACGGATCGGTCTTTGTGCAGCTTCTCTGGGAAATGGGAAGATCAGCTTGGTTTGACCATTACAGTGGAGGAAAGGAGAAGTGGAGTACGGTATCTTGGAGGCCTAGAAAAGGGATGCTGGGAGAACAATTTGGTTGGGGGGAAAAAAACTTTTTTAATTCTTTTTTCTGTAGCAGGAATAGTGCCGTGTTTTCCAAAACTGAATCAGAAGTGTTGGAACGGGAAGAGGTCCCCAGCGATCGTGGACACGGAGGTAAGTTTCTACAGTATTTAAAACCAGGATGCGAACATTTGGTCCTTCAGAGATTGGCGAACTCTCACTCCCATCCAAACTGACCGTTGTCCAGGGTTGCAGGGGCTGATAGGAACTGGAGTCCCACAGCACCCAGAGGGCCAGTATTCCCAAATGATATAAAACGGGCCTTGCGGGAGGAATGTCTTGTAAGCAACCGGTCGGCCACTGTGAGAACAGAATGGACTGCCCAGGTCCTGGATCTAATCTAGTATGGCTCGCGTCTTTCTGCATCCTCTCCAGTCGTTACTCCTAATTTTATAGCATCTCTTTACTGCATGTTCGCTGTGTGGTTATAAGGATGGAGAGAAATGATAAGATCTCTTCCTTTCGCTGCATCCTTGGTCAAGGAGAGCTGGTGAACATGCTGTGATGAAGAGATGATGGAGAATAAGCACATCTTAAGAGATCAGTGTCTTAAATGCCCTCCCTTTCCTCATGCATCCATTTTAGCACAATGTCCAATAAAACCAACATCGTCATCCCATAGTATTTTACAACAATTAGACCAACATCTGATATTTTAGGCTATAAATAATGACTATAACACATCTGCATAACACATTCTGGGAGAGGTAATGAAATCCACTTTGTATGTGCCTCGGTCTCATGGGAGAAAATCTTCTCTTGTGCTGCCCCCAGATTCTGGAACTCCCTGCCACTGGAAACCAGGACAGTCCCGTCTTTGCTGTCCTTCTGCAAGCAAGCAAAGACTTATCTCTTCAGGCAAGCTTTCCCTCTGTGCCTGGCTGTCTGGGAAGGGAATTCTTTAAAATTGTGTTTCTTTTGTTTTTAATGCATTTTAATTTATTCTATTTTATTTGTCTTATACAGTATACTGTATGTTTAATTCTTGTAATAATTTGTTGTTCTTAACTTTTCATACTGCTTATTTTTAATGCTGCTTAATATTGGAATCCGCCTTGGGCCCTTTTTGGGAGAAAGGCGGGTGAGAAATATTTTAAATAAACAAACAAGAAATAAATGTCAGGAGATACATGGTGTATCAGTGTAGCAAATAAAATAAATGAATACAGTGGTAATCGCTTGACGGTTACCCCACATGACAGTTTTTTCGCTAGACATTGGCTTTTTGCGATCACTATAGCGATTCGCAAAACAGTGATTCCTATGGGGGAATTTCGCTGGACAATGTTTGGTCCCTGCTTCGCAAACTGATTTTCGCTAGATGACAATTTTGACAGCTCCCTCCGCGCTCAAAAACAGGTGTTTTCGGGACCTAAGCTTCGCAAGAGAGCGATTTAAACAGCTGATCGGTGGTTCGCAAAGCGGCTTTCCTATGGCCGATCTTCACTAGACAACGATGATTCTTCCCCATTGGAACGCATTAAACAGGTTTCAATGCATTCCAATGGGGAAATGCTTTTCACTAGACAATGATTTCACTAAACAGCGATTTCAGTGGATCGGATTATCATCGTCTAGCGAGGCACCACTGTAACTACTATGTTGATGAAATACTCATTTTAATATATCTCTTTACTCTCCTTTTAAATACTGTATATGGGATCAATTTTTTTAGCATTTAATGGTTCTTGTTTTAATATTGCAAGCCACCTTGGTTCCTCTGAAGAAGAAAAGAGGGGCAGAAATGTAATAAATAAATAAATAAATAAATAAAT